CCTCTTTTTGGTTTGTAGTTGTCCTCTTTTGCCAATTGATGTCTCTGGTTCACTGTTCACAATCTTGTAAGCTTATTTTACTTTGGATACTTCCATAGCTGTCTTGGTTTCTGGGTTATGTCATCTTGTGTATTAATGGTCAGTTGTTGTTTGCTGTTATTGGTTCTCTGTTCAAAGGAGTCCCTTTAGTATCCCTTAGAAAGCTGGTATGGTTTTAACAAATTTCCTTAATTTCTGTTTATCTGGAAATTTCCTAATTTCACCATCATATATGAGGGACAATTTTGCTGGGTATATAATTCTTGGCTGGATCTTTTTCTCTTTGAGGGTTTTATATATATCATCCCATTTCCTTCTTGCTTGCATGGTTTCTGCTGAGAAATCAGAACTTATTCTTATTGGCTGTCCTTTGTAAGTAACTTTTCATTTTTCCCATGCTGCTTTCAGGATTCTTTCTTTTTCTTTGGTTTTGATGAGTTTGATGATGATATGTCTTGGTGATCTATACTGTTTGAGGTTCACTGGACTTCTTGAAATGGATATATTGTCATCTTTCATCATATCAGGGAAGTTCTCTTCAAACAAATCTTGGACAATTTTCTCAGTGTTTTTTTTTTTTCTCTCTTTCTGTTCTGGAATTCCAGTTACATTTAGGTTATTCCTTTTGATGATATCCCACATGAATCTTAGGTTTTCCTCATTTTGTTTTGATCTTTTTTCTGATTGATCCCTTTCCAAGGATGTATTCAGGTATTTGTCTTCAATCTCATGAATTATTTCTTCCACTGATTCAATTATATTCCTTTGCCCTTTCAATTTGTTATCTATTTCTGAAAATTTAGAATTAATCTTATGGATTTCTATCTGTAGATTTTGTATCATTTCTAATTTTTCATTTATTTTGTCATTTTGTTCTTGTATTGCCTTCCAAAATTCTCCTAGGGTTTTGTTTGTGTTTTCCTTAATTTTCCAGTGCTTTCTTTGATCTGTCTCTCACCCTTTGAATATACCTAAATATAATTCTTTTGAATTCCTTATCAGGGAGTTCCAATGCTGCTTCTTCCTCAGGGATGTGTTCTGGGTCTGTATCCTGTTCCATTGTTTCTACCACTTTATCTTGCTTCTTTGTGTGCCCTGTGATAGTCTGTGGTATCCAGGACATTGGGACATTGTTGTATTTAGATTTTTGTTAACTATTCATGAAGAGCAGTGAGGGAGAATCAGGCTCTTCTTGGTGGTCATTTACTGTTGGCCAGTTGATGGAGAAGGAATGGGTGGCTCTCACTCAGTAAGTGGAGCTTCAGGAATTGGAGGTGTGGTTGTGTCCTATGGTCATAGTTGTTGTCTCCCAATCAGTTAGACAAAAACAACAATAGAAAAACCATCAAAAAAGTAAAAGGAAATGGACAAAAAATACACTGCATGAACACACAGCAACAATCACCAAAAAGGAAGAAAAAAGAAAAGAAAAGAACCCCAATATCTGGGGAGTTGGCCATATGAGAAAAAAAGGTAGGGTAGGAGAATGATGAAATAAAAAATGGGAAAAATGCAAAAAGAGAAACTAGGAACAGGGTTAACCATGAGAAAGAAAAAAAAAAAAATGGAACCAGGAACAGGGAAAAAAGAAAAAGCTGAAAACTAGAACCTTTCTAGTCATTTGTGTTTGGAATGTCCTTGTGGTTCCTGGTAAGTGGAGCCTATTCTTAAATCCCTGTAATCTGGGAGAATGCTGTCACTTTAAATATCCAAAATGGTTGAACCAGCTTTAAATATTCAAAATGGCTGTGCCCTCTGGACAGACAAAATTCACAGCTCAGTCAGCCTTCCTCTTCGCTGCTTCCCCTTTTATTCACCAGCCACCAGTGCTGTACTCTATGCAGTTCCTGCAAGCAGAGCCAATTTTTAGGTATTTCTTAGGTCCTTACACCACTCGGCGATATTCAAGCTGTCTTTGCTGTCAGGATTGTTGCCAGACCACAGCTCCATATGTCTACTTTTTTGGTGTTTTCATGCAAATTCTTTTACTAGTTGGAGTTTATTCCACTTCTATATCCTTCCCTTCAAAGCTCAGGGCTCCATGATTATCTTCTGTATATTTGTTAATTGTTCCTCTTTTCTTTGTTGAAGAGGGTCTGTGCAGGCTTTCTTCCTATTCTGCCATCTTACCACAGACCAATGGCCAATTCTTTGAGAAGTGGATGGGTGAGTCCTTCTGAATCTGTCTCAGTCTGGAAGCTCCACTGAAACCTGTTCATGTTGGGTGATCTTGCTGGCATTTGAAATAGAAATGGAACAGCCTCCCACCTCACAGCAATACACAAGACACCATAGCACAACAAACTGACAGACAAGTGGTGGAAAATTATCATATGTCCCAGCAATTCCTCTCCTAGTTATATATCCTAGGAACCTAAAAGCAATGACACAAACAGACATATGTGTACTGAGGTTCATTGCAGTAATATTCACAATAGCAAAAGAGACGGAAACAACCCAAATGCTTATCAACAGATGAATGGATAAACAATATGTGGTACATAAATACAATGGATACTACTCAGGCTTAAAGAAAAATGAAGTCTTGATCCATACTACAGCATGAATGAATCTCAAAGATATTATGCTGTGCAAAATAGACAATCAAAAGGACAGTGTTTTGGTTACCTAGTGCTGCTCTAACAGAAAAAAACAAACAAAAGGTATTCTCTTACAGTTCAGGAGGCTAGAAGTCCGAGTTCAAAGTGCCAGGCTCTAGAGTATGGGTAAAAGCCCCTCGACCTTGGGCTTCAGCTCTGCCTCTTGCTCTAGATCCACTGAAGTTAGAGGCATCTCTTCACTCAGGCAGCTGCTGACTGCTGAGGCTGACAAAACCAAGGTCAACAAGTGAAAAGGCACAGTCCTGATACCACTAAATCACATGGCAGGCCATTGATTCAAATCCATTAAAGATCAGCAGAACATGGCAGGCTGCTGCATAAAGACTTGGCTACATGTAGGGTTTAAGCATGCCTAAAGCCTAGAGACCATTCCCAAAGCTGCTTCTTATATATGGGAAGAAGACCACATCCCTAAAATAGCTACTCAACCACTTGTGGTAGATCCCACCATGGATTTGATTGCCAATCTCATCATGGGGAATAACT